ACGGAGTAGAGGAAGAGTAGGGCCCAGCAAGAGCTTGCCTGACCTGGAGTTTGATGAGCTCAAAGGTTTTATGGATTTGAGTTTTGTGTTCACTGAGGAAGACAAGAATTCAAAATTGGTTTCCTATACTTATATTTTCTATTTCGGCCCCCCCAACTTTACAATTATAGCTCCGCTCCTGATTATAATACAAGCGATACTACAAGAGGAACAATACTAATATGTTGTGGAGGTTCGAACTTGAGACCACTAATCTACAAGTCAATGTCATTTTTTCATTGAACTAGACCCTTACGAGCACAATAGCCATTAAAGTTTAATTTCCAAACATTTTCATTTGGTAGCTCCCATTTAATATAATACTAGCCTCTCCGCATGCGTTTCTGCGCATGCGATAAGTTTTTTTTTTAAAAAAATTTAAATTTATTTTAGAATTAAAAAAGATAATGGGTAGTTGTATTCCATAAAAATAGGATTAATTATCTGATTTTTAAAAAATATGAAAAAAAATATAAATTTACCATATTATCCTCATTTAATTAATAATTTCAATTTTTAATGTTTGCATTAATCAATGACATTTTTTAGTATTTTGAATGTTTCGCCATTCTCTACATTTTGCTTTATATATATAGATAATGTAGAATAGGACCGTTTGTTCTTTTTTGGCTACTATCGTTACACTTATTATACTCACAATTACCTTATTTTAAATAAATAAAAAATAGTACTACATCCTCACTATTTGTATAGAAAAAATACTAACACATTATTCCGTAAACAAATTTGATAAGGGTTTCATGTTTTATTTTGATTTTGTGAGAAATGTAAAATTTAAAAAGATTATATTTTAATAAAATGATTTTTTTTTTGTTTAAATAATAAATTAATATCAGTCACGCCATTTAAAGTGGAAAACTGTTCGTTGGAGGAGACGCGGGCTCTGTGCAGTGGCTTTCGTGTAGATTGGCGACTACAGCTCGGTTGGTAATAAAATAATAATTTAAAAAGTAATGATGATAAATATTTAAAAAGGAAGATGCACTTCCTGACTCTGAGCTACTGAAAGTCAACGCCCCTCCCCCGCCCACTACTTTTTGTTGGCTTTGTCTTTTAGCGATGCTCTTTTCTATCCGCATGTTCGCCCATTGACTTAAACTGTACGTCACCATCACATTCTGATCACGCGCCAGTTTCTCCCTCCTCCAAAGGCCGTGCTACTCCGTGGGAGTCCTCATATACTTACCATAAACTCTACTTGGCTCTTTCTTTCATTTTTCTTTCTACTTGTCTATTTTTAGGTTTGGGAAGGCCATGCTCTAGAGAACATTCATTGGAAATTCAACTATTTAATAGCATAGAATAGACCTTTTATTATTATTATTATTATTATTATTATTACTTTTCAATTTGGACGAAATCTCTATTAAATTTGTTGTCAACTAGTTTGAAATCGAGGGAGGTTGACCATATTCAAAAAAATTTGTAAACTTAACTATCTAGCCTCATGTTAAACAAAACACGCACGAGCTTCGTTATTATAAAATCCTTGTAATTTTCTTTGGGTCAATCTTTCACAAGCATTGATAAAGACACGTGTCTAAGTATGACACATCCTAGAAGGGCGCTCATGACAAGAAAAGTGAGGACAGCCGCAGCATACCGTGGCGCCGACCTGGAAGGAAGAGTGTCACTTGATTGATTGGAATGGAAGGAAACCTGGGTGGAAGGGTGCGCAGGATAAGAGTGGGAAACTCTATGCTCTGAGTCACCCTTTTGTCACGGTCAGCGTCACCAATTCCCACAAAGGCCACTTTATTTCTTAGTTTTAAACTTATTATTATTGTGTTGTGATTTTCTGAGAGAGTCATCGATCCAAGGAGAGAGCTTTCTGGGTCTCAAAGTCTGAGCAGCAGAGCAAATTGAGCAATGGACGATCTGCCCTCTGGGTACCGACCCAACGTTGGCGTTTGCCTCATTAACTCTGATAATCTGGTATTCACGTTCACCCACCATCTTCTCCATCCATCTCTCCTCTAAATTTATCATATAAAAAAAACCACTTGTTCTCTTCTTTGCTTTGTCATCTTTCTATCTTTCTGTATTTGGTAGGGTCTCGTTAATTAAGACCCTTTTGTTGCCGTCACTAAGATTATGCTAACTCTCTGACCAAAACCCAGTAAATTCAAATCGGTTTTGTTAATAACAGAGTCCAATTTAAGACCCCTTTCCTTGAAAAAGTGTACATATTTGCGGGAAGAAATTATATTGCAACTGTCTGGGTTTTATTGCAGGTTTTCGTTGGATCAAGATTGAATGTTCCGGGAGCATGGCAGATGCCTCAGGTAGTACCGCACTAGATGCTTTTTTTTGTTTTCAACCACTTTTAAAAGCTGTTATTAATTGCTAACAAATAAGAGATTGCTTTAATCGCCTGGGGATATGGCTAATTGTTGTAGACTATGTGAAGATTAATGGCTTGTTTAATTTAAACCATTATTTGTTGATGAATTCTGTTCAAATAGTTACTGATGTAGAATCAGAGATGTGCAATCTGAACACTTGTTTCTTCCTCGCATTTGCAAAACATCCATAGTGGATGTGGATGGATTTAGTGTTTTTATGGCTAAATGATAGAAATCCATTCCACATGGTTAAGTGTTTTGCTCAATATCTCTCTATAAATTTTCCTTATACTAGTATCGGATTCTCTTCAAGGTCTAAATTTTCCTTCAATCATTGTAAAGGTTGAACTTTCTCTGTAATTCTCTGGATTTCTGCTGTTTTGTCCAATTCATTCGGTTAAGCTTCACTTTTATATTAATTTTTGGATCCTCAATCTCAGGGGGGTATTGAAGATGGTGAAGAACCTAAAAATGCAGCTATTAGGGAACTACGAGAAGAGACTGGGATAGAATCTGCTGAAATTATTGCTGAGGTTAGTTTGGAAATCTGGCAAAAACCCCATAATCACCACTATAAAAATACTGAATTTGTAAAACTCCAGTGTATCGTGAAGTAATGGCTTGGATGGAGTTCAAAACTTCTAAATTATAGTCAAAATATGCTGCATGCTTCATAACTATGCTGAGCTGCTGAATTTTCATAGCAGTCAATTTTCCACGCTTACGACTGAGGTTGTGTGTATTGACAGGTTCCGAATTGGTTGACATATGACTTTCCGCCTGCTGTGAAGACCAAAGTAAATCGTCTCTGGGGAGGTGAATGGCACGGGCAAGCACAAAAATGGCATGTCCTCCTTCCTACACATGCACACACTTCATGAATTAAAAACAATATCAATTCTCCTAAAACCTGCCTTCTTAAGCTTGCAAGTATGTAATGTTGCATTCTCAGCACATTTAGAGACTTTTTCCTCATTGTAATTGCAGATCTTTATTAATGTCATTGTCATCGCATGTACTCTGCTGTTTCTCCTTATATGATCATGTTATTGAGGTTGTGTATACTCTGTTTTTCTACGAAGTCCCGACATGTTTAGTAGCTCACTCTGGTGCCTGGGGCATGACCACAAGTGCTTTGAGCCATCTGGGGACTTAAGGGACATGAAAATGAAATGTCTTTGTATGGTTCAACTGAATTATAGAATTGATATTGAGCTTGCTTACCATGTATATTCAGTTATATTAGGCTTCCTCTCTCAGTGAAAAATTAATGTGCTTCCTTTGCTTATATAGATCTGTAATTTTTCTCCGAATGGATGGAAATAAGAGATGCAAAAGTTTCTGCTGCTGCTTAACAATGAATTTGGGCACTTGACAGGTTTCTTATGAGATTCACAAAAGATGAGAGTGAGATCAACTTAGCCAATGGAGCAGCTGATCCAGAATTTGCAGAGTGGAAATGGGCGAGCCCTGAAGAAGTTATTGAGCAGGTGTGCTGAAAAATAATCCTTCCGGTTAATTTAATTGAATCATTGTGTTTTGTGGACGTAATCAGATATGAGTGGTTACTAATCACAGGCAGTGGACTACAAGAGGCCAACATATGAGGAAGTTATCAGGACCTTCCAGTCCTACTTCGACGGCAGTGCTTTATCGACAAAGTGTAAATCCACAAAATGGTGAATGTTGTTGTTGGTGTGCTTCTTGTGTAGTCATGTTCATCTTCTTAACTCATTTTGCCGATTGAATTTGGATCGAGTAGGACTGCTGCTTATTGTAAATGATAATGAGAACTTCAAATTAGATCTTTGCGTTGTTATAACAATAAAATCTATGTGGAATTACTTAGTTGCTTGCTTCCAATGGCTTTGCCTGGCTACAACTATCAATAACAAATGGGGGAAAAGCCGAAAAGAGTGAAGGACTTGAATTTCTCTGTGGTTACTTCCCCAATTTGAGAGCTGTTTTTGGTATTGAAAGGGGCCCAAGCCCAGAAAAACAAAAGTGGGTAGAGATGGCTCTGTGGTTACTTCCCCAATTTGAGAGCTGTTTTTGGTATTGAAAGGGGCCCAAGCCCAGAAAAACAAAAGTGGGTAGAGATGGCTAGTGAGGGGGTTATAGTAAAGGGTGATGGCCTTATATTTGGCCTTGAAGTGAGGCTATATTTCTGAATTGTTGGATCAAATTAGTTAGCCTAATTGAACGGTTAAGTGCATCTTTTGTGAATCTCATAAGAAACCTGTTAAGTGCCCAAATTCATTGTTAAGCAGCAGCATAAACTTTTGCATCTCTTATTTCCTTCCACTTGTGAAGAGTTATAATGAGGGGTCCTTAATAACCGTCCAATCAAGTATAGTTATTATTGGACTATTATAGAAGCTCCCTTATTTTCATACTACTCTCACTAGTTAAAGCCCAAAGAAAACCAATGGATGGAACTCTTAGATATTCGTGTGTGTGAGTTTTTTCATCATTTTCTTTCTAATTTTGGCTAAAACAAAAAACAAAATACCCTAATGGTCAAACAAAAAAAAAGGAAAGAAGTAAGTACACCAGTAGAGTAAGAGCAACTCCAGCGAGACCCCTTTGCCTCGGGCTGGGGGATTTTTTTGCAAAAAATGGTTTCCAACGGTGAGCCCAAGCCTGGGTTGGAGTGGGTCCCAGGCAAGTCAGGTTGGCCCGAAGTCCAATTCAGAGGTCGAGCTCGCGTTTTAGTGACGTCATCACGCGGTTTGAAATTTTTTTACCGTTGGCGCGTGCATTGCACCAACGGTAAAAAAATTTAAACCAGCGTGTGTTGACGTCAGCGTTGCGCATCTCCAACAGGAAGAAGCCACGTGTTATGCCCCCAACCCTCCGATCTGCTTCTCCGAATCCAATCCTACGGCTGACATTTTTTTGGCAATAAAATTATAAAAAAAAAATATAATTTTTTTTTAGAAAACACTAAAAAATTCTAATTTTTTTTTTCCTATAAATACCCTTCACTTTCAACACCAATCCTCATACATTTTTTTTCTACTTCTACTATTATTCACTCTTTATACTCAACATCTCCCTCTCTTTCACCTTGTATTTTTAGTTCTTATATTTATGACTTCTTCTATTGAAACTATAGGGGCGTGGAGCACCATGGAAGATGTTTCCTTGTGTGAGGCTTGACTCCAAGTTTGTCATGATCCCGTGTCAGACAATGAGATGAAATTTTTTCATATGTGGAAAAAAATTCATGCGGAATTTTGTGAAAAAATTCCGGAGTCGACTCGTACAGAAATAACATTGTCTAGTAGGTTTAAAATTCTCAATACAGAGTTGGAAAAATGAAGAGATGCTTTGTCAAAAGCGATGCAAAACTATAGAAGCGGGGAAAATCGTACTAACGAGGTAAGTATTTTGTAATTTTCGTTTTATTAAGTTTAATGTCCTAATATATATATTTTTTGTTAATATTTATTGCATTTTCAATATTTTGTTAATATTTATTGTATTTTCAACATTTTGTTAATATTTCTTTCATTTTCAATATGTTGTTAATATTTCTTGCATTTCCAAATGTCTCTTAATATTTCTTGCACTTCCAATTTATTTGTAATGTTAATTGCATTTCCATTATTTTTTTTTTGTTACTTGCATATCCAATATATTTTAAATATTTCTTGCATTTCCATTTTTTTGTTAAATAGATTATTCAAGCACAGATGTGGTTCAGTGCAACCGGAGGTGGCAAAAAAAGTTTCACTCATCATGAATGTTGGGAGGTGGTGAAATATTGCAAACGCTTCATAATTATTCCCACGGGTCCCGAGGTTATGTTAAACGAGACGCCACTCTGTGATTCAATGCCATCGAATTCACCTATCGATTCCCCTATGAGCCAAGACTCACCCAATGAAAAGGAGCCGAGACCCATTGGCCGAAAGGCTGCGAAGGCAAAGAAAGCGGGTAATTCGAGCAATAATAATTCAAAGTTTTTGGAGGAAATTGCAAGGTAGAACACCATAAAAATTGAAATGGAGCAGAAACGCCAAGATAATGAGATGAAGATTCAAGCCGAGTATGCACGAGAAAGGGAGTATTTGTGCAAAAAAGATGATGCCAAGATGGATCGAGAAACCATGACGATGGATACAAGCCATATGTCCCCTAAAACAAAACAATTTTGGAATGTAGAACGAAGAAATGTTATCAGAAAAAGACTTTTCTAGGATGATGGGCCTAGCAACACGGATTAGTTAAATGATGAAAACCATTAAATTAGTTGGCATACCTTTTATGTATTTGTATTTTTCATGTTTTCTATTAAAGTTGTTGTAATTCTTAATGACTTGTATTGGATTTCTTTATTGAACCAAAACACCATTCAATTTATTGAACATATTCCATACATCATACAAAACATAATTAAAATAAAATAAAAACTACAAACAAGGCATAATAATAATAACAAATCACAACCAAACCATAATAAATAAAAAACAACACAACCAAACCATAACTAAATAAAACATAACCAAAGCATCTAGAAATTAATCATTCATCTTCATTGCATTTCACTGCCCATAGATGCTCCATCAAGTCAACTTGAAGCATTTCATGAATATACGAAAATTGCATCTCTGTATATCGATCTATCATCTGGGTCATGAAACGACCATTCCTCACCAACGGTTCAGGCTCAAACGGTTCTCCATTTGGCCCCATAGGCATTTCATAAATCTGTGTCAAGAGCGTGTTCATTTGATCCGGTTCGTAGACCTCTAAAGCATCATAATCGTACTCATCCTCCACAATCATATTATGGAGGATGATGCAAGTCATCATAATGCTTCTGAGGATCTCCTCATCAAACAAACGGGTCGTACCTCGAATAATCAACCACCGAGCTTAAAGGATGCCAAAACACCTTTCGACATCTTTCCTGTATCATTCTTGATAGGTAGCAAATAATTTTTGCTTCTAGGATCGGGGATTCAGAAAGGATTTGACAAATGTAGTCCACCTCGGGTAGATGCCGTCAGCTAGATAATACCTCGTCTGGTAGACTGTATTGTTGACTTAATAAGTGATATTGGGGCCTTGGCCTCTCAAAACATCGTTGAAGACCGAGGATTGATCCAGCATGTTGAGGTCATTTTGGGATCCGGTAACTCCGAAGAAGACATGCCAAACTCATGTGTCGAAGCCAGCAATGGCTTTAAGGATGATACTTTTTTGGCATTTTTTATTTTCGTAATCACCTTGCAAGGCAGTTGGGTAATTCTTCCATTGCCAGTGCATGCAGTCGATGCTACCAATCATTCCTGTAAATCCTCGAGCTTCGGCTTTTTGTAGAAGCCGTTGGTGGTCCCTCGGAGTAGGTTATCGCAGGTAGTCCATAGTGTACAGAGTTTCAACTGCATCACAAAATCTTACCAAAGCCTCCAACGTAGTGGACTTCCCTATCCGGGCAATCTCATCCACCTGATCAGCAGATGCTTCATACGCCAACATTCGTATAACAGTTGTAAGCTTTTGCTCTGGAAGAAGGCCCAAAACCCCAGCAGCATCACACTTTTGAAGGAAGTATGCATCATAATTGCAAATATCATGCATGACTTTATTGAACAAATGGGGTTGCATTCTAAATCGCCTTCGAAAATCAACATCAGAGTACAAAGAAGTTGAGATAAAATAATCTTCCAAAAGATTCTTACCCCGAGAATGCCTATGTCTGTCCATATTCTGGCGGCGGCCGACTTGTGAACCACGGCGGTGACCTTGGTTCTCTTCATCTTGCAAAGCCACTGCTATGACAATTTGTTCATCGACTTTTCTCTGCAACTCATTGATTTCATCTGCTCTACGATTTCTCTCTCTTGTTTCTCGCTCTTGTCTTTCCAAGCATCTCCTAAAATCTTCCATTGAGAATGAATGGAGTATGAGTTCTAAACTCTGAGAAATGAAAATATAGAAAGATGTGGTGTGAGAGGTATGAACTGAGCCTTTGGTTTTATAAAAAATTTTGGCAAGATAGAGATGCCACGTGGCTTGATTTGATTGGATGAAAATCTTATCTGAAAATTGAAATTCATCCGAAATTTGAACCCAAATTTATCCAAAATTTGAATTTTGAAATTCATCCAAAATTTGAACAAAAAAATTTATCTAAAATTTGAATTTTGAAATTCATTCAAAATTTGAACCCAAAAATCTTATTCGGAAATTTTATCCGATTATGAATAGTCTTAACACGTAGAAACCTAGAAATCTTATCTGAAAATATTATCCAAATTAATTATTGAGGTAAAAAAAGTTGTGAAAAAAACAAAAAAATAAATAATAATTGCCCTTAGCCATGACAACGGATGGAAACGGAAAATACTATTTGCAAAGGCAACTACTATTCACATAAATAGTGACTGTCCTAGCTCCCCTGCCATGATTAAGGGCAAATGGATGGAGTTGCTCGTAAGAGCATGTCCACCGTTGCACCAAACCTGGGCAAAAGGCCCCCCTGGCAGCCCATTTTCAGCTCCAGCGCACAGCAATGAGCCCGGGCAAATGGTGGGTCCCACCAGCCTGGGCAAGCCCACGGGCTAATCTTGCCTGAGCACCAAAACTCGGGCTGCTGACGTCAGCAGCTGATTTTCAATTTTTTTTTATTGTTGGACCCACCAGCCCACATTGCCCAATGATTACATGCCATGTGGCTTCTCCTGGAGCCTCCGATCAAAAAATCTTGCACAATCCAACGGTTGTCCAATTTTTGACTTAAAAAAATTGAAAAAAATATCAAAAAATTTTTTATAAAAAAAAATCAAAAAATTATGGAAATTTTTTCTATACATACCTACCAATATTATTCACTTTCCACACCAATTTAATTTCAAAATTTTATTGGAAAATGTTATCTTGATTTTTAGGTGAGGATTTTACAATAAATATTAGCACTTGGGAATTGAAAATCTTATCCGAAATGCTTATCAAAATCAATGGTTTAAGAATAAAAAATAAAAAATAAATTTAAGTGAATAGTAATTGCCTTAGACTTGCCCTAGATTTAGCCCTCATGGGTGGAACCATAAATGACAAGGCTAACACTATTTACATAAATAGTGACAGCCCTTGCCTACCCTTGCCTTAGACTTAGCCCTTGTGGGTGGAGATGCTCTTAAAGGAGTAACAGAAAGAAAGAGAGAAAAAACAAAAAAAAAACAAAAAAGCTGAGCGGCACCGGAACCGGCACAGACAAAGCCGGAAGAAGTTTGAGTCACAACTCACAATACGATCCTAAATGCATGTCCATTTCTGCTGCTCACTCACTCTTAAACCCCAAGCGATGGCAACCTTAAAACCTCACCAACCCCTTCATCATCAAAATATCAAAGATCAAAGGCAAAAACGCATCATCTGCAAACTCAGAGACGCCCTTTTGACCCGTATTGCCGCTTCATCAGAACCCTCTAAACCCATCATCAACTCCGAGGGCCTTAAGTCCAACATCGACCGCCGCCTCCGAGAGCTCATCCCCACCGTCCACACCCCAACTCACCCTCCTTATGCCTCGGTAACTTTGAATTTGGTTAACTACTAATTTCTTGTTTATTTTGTAAGTTCAAAGTGATTAGCTTTTAGAAGCAAGAAAACTACTTTTTTTTTGTGCATATTGTTTTATGAGGGATATTGTGAGTGTCTTGGTTTTGTTGATCTCCTGGGCATTGCATTTGTTTGTTTTTTGCGAATGTAGATGATACAGAGGGCAATAGAGGAGTTGGATGAGGAAGGTGGGCTGAGTGAGGTGGCCATATCGGAGTTTATCAAAAGGGAATATGAGGATTTGCCAGTGGCGCATGAGGGATTTCTGAGGCATCATCTGAGGAAACTTTGTGAGAGTGGGGTGGTTGTGAATTTGGAAGGTGGGAGGTACAATCTTGTGGTTGAGGAGGGTGATGATGGGGGTGTGGTGGACAGAGAGTCTACGAGCGAAAGGTGGCCGGGGCGGGAGGATAGAGGCGAAATTGTTAGGATGGAGGAAAAAATGAAAGGGGAACAATGGCAAAGTGAGGTGATGAGAAGACTTGATGTACAAAGGCAAGAGCATTTTGAGGTGATTGAAAACAAATGTGAAGCCCAAGGAGAGCAGATGGAAGTGAATGAGGGACAACTTGCGGTACTATTTTTGACACCTGGTTTCTGCATTTGGTTCCTTTTACATTCTCAATTGCTTGCCTAGTAAATCTTTGTTGTTGGTAGCGCTGATTTTACTTTGTGCTTGAAGTTTGTTGAGCAATGCTGTTCTCATGTCATCTTAACTTGATATTAGCTAGTCGTATCTTGTTTGTGCTTTTCCAGTAGGTTTTTGCTCTTGGCAACATTCTCTGTGTGGGTCTAATTCCGTTTGACAATGCAGATGGCAAGCATGGAGTTGGATGTGGAAGGGAGTTCGAATAAAGAGGCAATACTGGGAGATGTTGAATCTGAGGTGTATGAAAATGAAGTGATACAAGGAAATCGTCATAGAGAAGAACAACAAAGTGGGGAAGTATATAAGCAAAACGAACCACAAGCTCAAGAAATTGAGGTAATTGAAAATCATTTTCAACCGCAAGCTGGGAAAGTTAGAGAGATTGGAGAGAGAGTCCAAGGGCAAGATATTGAAGTCAGAACTAAGATATTGGAATTATGTTGCCATGGTGATGATAACTTGAGAACCCAAGGTGATGTGCCTCTTGCTGATCGGTTCCAGCAATCACCTCTTCAAGGCCAAGAAAAGCGACGTCCAGGGAGGCCTCGTAAGCCTAGAAAAGGTATAGAAAGTACTAGGGCATTGGTACTCTTGGCTTCTGAAATTCATCATGAGGAAGAGCCACCAAAGCGTCGAGGGATGCCTCGTAAAGCTAAAAAAGATATGGATGCAAGTACTAGGGCATTGATGCCATGTGGTGGTCCTCAACATCATGATGAGGAGCAGCCGCCAAGGCTTGGAGACAGGCCTCCTAAAGCTAAAAAGAATATGAATGTAAGCATTTCGGCATTGCTACCCTCTGATCCTGAACGTCATGATGAGGAGCAGCCACCAAGGCGCCGAGGAAGGCGCCCTAAACCAAAGCCAGATTCAGAAACAAGTTTGGCAGTTGTAGCATGCTCAGATAAGCAACCACAGTACAGAGGCAGAGGGAGGCCTCCTAAACCAAAACCAAAACCAATTCAGAAACAAGTCTAGCAGTTGTATCATGCTCAGATAAGCAACAGCAGCAGCAACCACAGTGCAGAGGCAGAGGGAGGCCTCCTAAACCAAAACCAAAACCAATTCAGAAACAAGTCTAGCAGTTGTATCATGCTCAGATAAGCAACAGCAGCAGCAACCACAGTGCAGAGGCAGAGGGAGGCCTCCTAAACCAAAACCAAAACCAAATTCAGAAACAAGTCTGGCAGTTGTATCATGCTCAGATAAGCAACAGCAGCAGCAACCACAGTACAGAGGCAGAGGGAGGCCTCCTAAACCAAAACCAAATTCAGAAACAAGTCTGGCAGTTGTTCGTGCTCAGATAAGCAACAGAAGCAGCCACAGTACAGAGGCAGAGGGAGGCATCCTAAACCAAAATTAGATGCAGAAAATGCTAAGAACCCACCGGAGACCCCTCAGATTGAGCAGTTGCAACGAAAGCGTCGAGGTCGGGGAAGGCCTTCAAAATTGCAATGAGGACCAGAAACAGAAGACTTGTTACAGAAATGTTTGATTTTATGTTTGTATATATTCTGGTGTATATCTTTTTGGGATTAAAAGGCAGTTGCTTCAGTTGTTTTGTCTGCCAGGATGATCTCACTACTAACAGTAGTTTAAGAAAGGTATATATGAATCACCAGCCAGTGGACCTTTTAATGCTGATTTCGCAAAGTGAATGTTGGATGGCAATTTGATTTCTATCAGTAAACCTTCTTGGCCTTTACTAATTTGCAAACAAACAACAGTGTCATAAGGCTAGTTTGGGGAATCTCTAGGATTTGATGATTATCAGATAAATAAACCAATGAACTTTTTTTTTTCTCTTTCATAAACTATTCACTATTGTAATAAACATGTGAAATTCCTCAAGAGTTCTTGATATGATTGCACCTAATATGTTTGTGATGTCAATTTATAACGAAAGAAAAGCATAAATAATCTAAAATAACTAGTAACAAAAAATTAACTCGTTCATTGATTAGCATTTTACAAACGACGGATGGATAGAACCGAAAGCCAAAAAACCAGACAACTGCGTGTAAAGACAGTCTTTGACATATCGGACAAGTCCCAATCAAAAAACGGAGTATAAAAGAAGCTCCGCTAATAGCGGACCAAAGATTTGGTCATCGGTCATCGGTCATCAGTCTCACTACTCGCATATGATATGGAAGCCATTCTTCGCTGGTTTCAAGGTCTCTCTTCATCATCTTCTTCTTCTTCCGCTGATCACCGTGCTATTTCACAAAGCGACGTCGTTCAACAGCCACCATCATCGGCAAGTACTGATGAGCAGCAGGAGGAGGAGTTGATAATCACGGTAGAGTTGGACATGAGTGGGTTGAAGCCCATCAAGGTGCCTGAAAGGACCAATCACAGACTGGCCTCTATGGGCCATCATAAGGTCAGCCACACACTGTCTGTCTGTAACCCAGATGTTGAATTTTAATAATATTCTTCCTTTGCGTCTCTCCGTCTGTATGATCTGATGACTGATAAGATAAGGTCCGCATTTTGAGGATTTAGAGCTGAGTCGGTTGCCACAAGTTGTCCTTTTTCTCAACTGAAATGTATGCGAGTCAAATTTAATGGTCTTTCTTTCGGATTCATTCTTCCCTTCATCTCTCTCTTTTTCCCCTATACTTTTAATCAAACACTTTTTTACATTTTTGACTTTTTTTTGCCTTCTAATTAATTATTAATGTTGTTGGTGATCACGAATAAGAACAATTCAGTTGACAAGTTCAAATCTGCACTGCTGTACATACGTACATATCTATATATATATATTTCACATACTCCTATCTGATGGGTTCATATCCTTGATCAAATCATACCTGTCATATCCTTTTGTGGGTTTTTTGGTGTTCCCTGAGAGGATCAGGCAATCTCATACTCTGGCTGGTCTAATAGTTAACAGAAATACAACAAGGTTTTTGAAAGTCACTGTTTTTCTTTTTTAAAGATAATTGTATGTGCATACCTTCTAGTTTTCTGTTCATTTTTTTAACTGCCTAGCTGCTTGATCGTTTCTTGTGTCTTTGCTCTGGCTCATATCATATCAAGGATCCAACCAGTTTCTTGAACTGCGATTTCAAGTCGTAAACTTTTTAGATTCTCATATTATGCAATTTGTAACTCGAGACTTAAGAGTGTGTAAAAGAAAGACAACTTTTCTGTGAGATTTTGTTCAGCTTAATGGCAAGTGATGATCTCTTCAGGCTTTGATATGCCAATGAAGTGTGATGATCGAACTGCAGGTTTTGAATAAGTCCCATCTGAAGAGTACTGCACTGTTGATCTTTAAAATTATTTAAACTGTATCCATCTGTCCATGACTACACATATATTCTTTTGCCTGCTATGAACAACAATTTACCCATTGGAAGGAGTCGCAGAAAGTAAGCTAGTGATAATTGCAAAAGATTAGGATAGTTTAATTTTCTTGATTGATGAGCTAATATGCCAATACGATTTAAATGAACCAAGTGACTTATTGCAAATTGAAAATTGATTTGTGAATCATTGTTTAGGATTTGTTACTAAATTGAAAATTTGATTTGTGATACTTATTGCAATGTTTGATTTATTTATTGCTCTCTCGCTCTCTCTAGATTCTCTATGTAGGTTAGATTAACTTCTAAGTTTTGCTCCCATATTTCCTAATAACCGCATCAATATAATTGAGCTGAATAAGATGTTCCTTATCTGTGGTTTATGTTGGATGATGACGGTGGTTGTACACTTCTGTTTTATCATATTAGTTTTATATGCAGATGTATACTTTAGAATTGTCAGTTCAAGTTTGCATTTACCATCCATTTTTTGTTTATTCTTCCATTCACAATTTTCCCTCTGCCCTTATTTTACTTTTGAAGGATTACTAATTATTTCTTAATTTTAATTCAGAATATGCTTGACAAAGAATTTTTCACAGAATATGGTGAGGCAAGTCAATATGAAATTCAAGAAGTGATTGGGAAAGGTAGCTATGGTGTTGTTGCATCCGCAGTTGATACTCACACTGGTGAGAAAGTAGCTATTAAGAAGATCAATGATGTCTTTGAGCATGTCTCCGATGCCACAAGAATTTTAAGAGAAATTAAGCTCCTTCGGGTGCTACATCACCCTGATATTGTAGAAATAAAGCATATAATGCTACCCCCTTGCAGACGAGAATTTAAGGATATATACGTTGTATTTGAGTTGATGGAATCTGACCTTCATCAAGTTATAAAGGCAAATGATGATCTCAGTCCTGAGCATTACCAATTTTTCTTGTATCAGCTTCTTCGAGCTCTGAAGTATATACATACAGGTTTGATACCCTTTTATTGACCTTAGAATTTCCGTCGGTTTCACATATTCTATGGTGCTGATGGATTCTTTTTTTCTTTTTGCAGCAAATGTTTTCCATCGAGATTTAAAGCCAAAAAATATACTTGCTAATTCAGACTGCAAACTGAAAATTTGTGACTTTGGGCTTGCTCGTGCAGCATTTAGTGACGCTCCATCTACCATTTTTTGGACTGTATGTGTAATTATATGGGAAAATAGAAGTTTTGGATTGCCATTCTAGTAATCATTAGCCTTTTTAGCTTCCTTTTCTTTGTTAATGCTGATTTTTTTTTTTAATACCTTTTCCAAGGATTATGTGGCAACTCGATGGTACCGTGCTCCTGAACTCTGTGGTTCCTTTTTCTCCAAGGTGAGAATGTAAAGATTATGTTATGAGATTTTCAGCTCACAGTGATAAATGAATAATTAGTGATATGATTACATGATTTAGGCATATGAGAAACAAGTGTATAAAATTTATGATAGAACTAAACCCTTTGAGATTGTGGCTAAGCATATTGTGACCTGTATTTTGCAGTACACCCCTGCTATTGATATCTGGAGCATAGGGTGCATATTTGCAGAAATGCTAACAGGAAAACCGTTGTTTCCTGGGAAAAATGTTG